TGAAGGTTTGTTTCGTACAAGGGAAGAAACTTTTCATGTCTTAAGATAACCTTTCATTAATCATGAATTTGCATAACTTCCGTCCAAGGGACGGGTATTCCAGCTAGTCAATTGATATAACAATATCAGAACATTTAAGTAGTAGTATAGTTTTTCACAAAACTTTTTAGAATATTGTTATTTTTCAATCATCGTTGAGGGTAGTAGGTAATTAATTAATTAAAATACAACCGAGCTTCACATTTAGTTCCATTTAATATTTAGACCACCAAGTAATAAAAAAGAAAATTAATTGAAATTAATGGAATATTGTCTCCAAACATTTCATACCCTTAAGATGAAGGTCTTGTATCATCTACTGGAAATGAAGTAGTACATGTTAATAAGAGAACCGCATTTCGTGCAGAAAGTATTTTATTTTTACAAGTACACTAGATTACATTTCTAATGTGTAAATTCAATTTAAAATGTGAAATTCATATTATCTTATTTAAGAGTTGAGATTTAATAACAGCTCTAACTCTATCATTCATTCTTTGTCGCTAACGTCACGACGCCGCCTGCCAGGTCCACCAGCGAAATTGGCAGCTGCTAATCCCATCAAATGTTTAGCAGCTTGGCTTCCTGAAAATCCACGGGACAATCCTAAGTCCAGTCCACGCTTCTCACTAAATAATATCGGAATGAAGTACAGTGAAAACTTGATGTATTATTCACGCAACAACAAAAAAGTGTCCAATGGAACAGTATTACAGAGAACTAGGAAGCTGTCAGTGTAATGTTTTCAATTCATTACATTTTAGTCGAATTTGACTGAACTTGATTGAAATATAACAGAAAAATAGTTGATACAACTGAACTGATCTATTTTTTCATTAAAATCTATGGTAAAATATAATCTCAACTCTAGACCTGAAAGAGTCTGTGCTCTGAAAGCTTCCTTGTTACTTAAGTGAACTTTGTAACATTGTTTTACCCATGTCTTATTTTCTGTTTCATTTTTATTGGATATTAGAATGTTTATTGACAATATAACGTGATGGGAGTTTCATCAAGTTGTCCATTTTGTTATATATATTTTTTATAATTAATTAATTATAATAATTGCAATGTTATTTTACTTTTAGTAATACAATAAAAAAATAAAGCCCGTTTTTTTACGTACGTTTTAGCGCTTTCAGAAACAAGCAGATTCTCCAATACTCCGGTCAAGACTCGAATGACTTCATCAGGATGTTCAATTTCCACCAGAGTGCGCTTCAACCTAGATAAGAGATGAAGTAATAGTGTGAAAGAGAATTAAATCACAAGATAGTTATAGATACATTTTCAACGTCTTATCTTCCATTTTGTTTTTTTGCAATACAAGAAGAAAATTGGTTGAAGTTATGATAAACCGACATATTAGTTTTAAGATATAATCTACAGAGGGTTCTTTATACTTATTGGTGTTTTATCAACATAAGGATATAACTTTTAATGAATTTATTTATTTATATATTATCGAGTAGCATGTTGTTAAGCATAATGCCACTATATCCAAAGTTACATATAGTTGTAAAGTTGACCATTTGTATCGATATTTCAATTTTCAGGAAGGATGTGGTTCAGTCTTAAGCCAAAATGTGAAATATGTTGTATTTCTTGAAGAAAAGCAGTTGTTCAGAAACAAGAGTTTGATTTGAACTATTCTATAAAGTTTTAAAGATCTGTAGTTATTCAATAGATTTGTAAGTACAGATAAAATTATGTCAGATGTGTTGTGTGTGTTACGAAGCTACCGATAAAAGGGTGTGTTTACTGTGTATATTAGTAAATAAAGATTCAACCGAATAGTATTTGTTTTCACTTTACTGAATGCAGAATTCACAGGACTGAGCTGTAAATTTTTGAAGTGGATTTAAATAGTTCTATTGACATTTAAAATGCGGTTGTGTTTTGTATTTTTCCAAGTTTGTTCTCCAGATGGTGTTTCGGACTTTTCTGTCTCCATCTTCAGAATACGTGATTAAAGACTCAACATAATACACGAAATGACACCTCCAACGTAGTGAATTGTTGTGTGTTAAATATGTTAATATGTAAACATTAAACGGAATATATTTGTTTGGTAAACAGAAACTTTATAATGCTTTGTGTATTGTTGTTAAATATAGACTAATAGAGTTTTTCTTTGCTGGTAAATAGCCGAAGGACAAGACTATTTCGCTGTTGTAATTTTATAGATAGCTCATGAAACATTATAACCAATGTTTGACGTTATGATTTAAACAAAAACATTTCATGAAAGCAGCTTGTTTTCCTTGTAGCCCTAGATGTTTGGAGTTATGTTATAACAAGCTCTGGGTCTTTGTATTATATATAACAGAAGAAAATTAGAACGTCTTGTTTAAAGAGACATTATTCTTTACGACACATCAGTTAACATGTGTTCACATCAATTTGAAGCGTTTCCATCACTCATATTGTCAGTACGGTTTATTCTTTACCGATCGCTAGAGACATCTGATTTCTGTAAAATTTGTATCAAGGTTAAATTTGTGTAGAATTTAACCAAATTATTTTATGCCTTTGTTGAGTTAGTTTTGTGATTTATCAACGTTCAAAGCGTAGAAGGTTAACATAATAATGCTTGGAGACGGCTTGAATGAGTAATGAAGATAAAACTTTAATATAAGTTTAACACAACGGCAAATGTACAACGTTTCGACAAGGTTTTGTCATCATCAGGTGAACATCTAAACATTACTGGGTCCTATTATTATTTTATGCTAAGTGTGCATAGACTTTTCCAAAGGTTTTATTTATTTGTTTGTAGTTAAGCACAAATCTACGTAATGGGCTATTCGTGTTATACCAACCACGATTACCGAAACCCGATTTTTAGCTTTATATGTCTTCAGAATTACCGTTGAGCCAATAGAGGACTTTACAGAGAGTAAATGTTCATGAAATAATCTCTTAAGTGAGCAGAAGCTACTCGTGTGCTATTTCCTGAAACGTTTCCCCATATTTTTACATTGTAGTAACTCGTTTATCACTCGCTTAAATAATAAATGTTAGAAAAAATTGTAATTCTATTTTCAAAATTGCTGGGATGTATTGGAAAGTGATCGGACACTTGTTTTCAGTGATCTGTTTACTAATAATATTACAAAAAAAGAGAAGCACATGGATCCTAACGGATTTTTATGACACCACTTACAACGCCTTCCATTTAGAAACATCATCTGTTGCTGTAAAACACTACAATTGTCTCAAGCACTTAACATCTGTTTATAATGTACGAACTCCAATCAGTGTACGAAGCTTGTGTTATAACCGGCTGAGACCTGGAGTTAGCAGTTTTCCCTCCTAAAAGCATACTTATTCCTTTTGTGATCTATCTGATATTACCAAATTTGTTAGAAATTACAGTTCTCGAATGTCCATACCAAAGGTTTTGGTATGTGAGGTAATGTTAAGAATGAGTTTAGTCGCCAAGCAACTATCAAGCGGTATTTTAAATTTAGTACCTACAGGTTGAACAGTCATGTTAGAGAACCGAAGATTCAGACATAGTTATCCCCAGATTAGAACAGTAGATAAGAAGGGCAACAATTCACCAGTACTCTTCTACTACGTAGCCACTTTTAACCGAAAAGTACTATTGATCGTTATGGTTAAAACGCTCCTCAGCTGAAACTGAGACACGTATTCAGCAGCATTTCACGACTCGAACCTTGGGCCTTCAATTTCAAAGACAAACATGCTAATTGTAAAATTTAATAATCTTAACGATAACTTAACGATTTATGAGTTTTTTTTTGTGTTAAGAATATATTAATTAAACCAAACACAATTCCATAATTTAATGTCTGGTTTAAAACAAAGTTAGAATTAATAATTGAAGGCTTTCGCGCATAATACATAGAAAGTATACATTTATCTGCAGGTAGACAACTTAGCCAATGGTATAACTAGATTAAACTCAATAACACTCAATTTAAGAAGTATATTTAACACATTTAAACTTTAAAACAGTCTGAAAGGAAGGGAAAATTCTGTAACTCACCGATTCTGAGGCAAGGAAGCCGACAAAGCTACTGACAAGACCGACATCAAGAGAAACACGGTAATGAAACCGACTATTACTGATACCTTGACCATAGTGTCTGTATTGGAGTAAAATGACAAAAGGTAGAAGTTAATATCGTAATCATGTAAAAATAGATCATCTGATGAGAAAATTTGATTAAATCTGCACCTAGTGGACAAAATGGGCAACTAAAACTAAACGAGAAGTTGGGGATATGCTGTTCAGAAACATACGAAGTACAATTTATATTAGTATTGACATTGGCTTTCATATAGAATTAACATTGTATTACCATATAAATGTATACAAAATTCATCGAACTTTATCCTGATTATCAAATTACTTAAGAAAGAGACAAAAAATGTTTTCTCCATGTGAACCTGTCTTTCTTTGTTACTGATGAAGATAGGTGTACCTGTCGATAGCATTAGGATCTTTTCGTTTTCTTAATGTAATTCCAATCCTTTTTCATCTACCTCTTTGTTTTATTATCACAATCAAGTAACCTTATGCTATTTTAAAATTATCGACAAAAGGAAATTAACACAATATGTTAGTTTGTGTTAACTTCAAGCTCGCGAGTTTTTACTAGTCTATAATTAAACCCTCAAGTAAATTTGTAAAAAAACACATGAAAATGCCTACTTTTTAATATTTTACATGTAAACTTTACTACTACATACTGTACAATTGAAATTCAAATGACTTAGACACATAGACAACTTTTTGTTTTTCATGAAACACACACTTTAGTAATTTGTTAACAAATGCGGAGTACATCTAGTACAGATCTCTCTCAGTTATAATTATGAGGCATCTACTAGTAAAAGTAATAACACATGGATAGGGCCTGAAAGTACGAATATTGGGAATGTGTTCAATTTTTATTTATTTAGGTTTCGTAAATTAAGGATATATAGTTCTATTAAAACTACTAAGATATTTCAAATGATATAATACTTTACTAAAGTAAAATGTTCCTAAGTGAAAATGAAGGAAAAGCGACAACAGAAACGGTGAAAATACTGTCTAGCGTAACTGATTTTGGGTGAAATTGGGATCCTCACCTACTTGTATAATGGGCTTTGTTGCTTGTATATCATAGATTTCACTTTAATATCTTGTAATATTCAATTTTTAACACAAAAGTGATATCAATGCATTGTTGCACTAATAGACTAAAGGCAAGACAACTAGTGAACAGCACCCGCCAACAGCTCTTGAGATAATATTATCTGATCTAATAGTGTGAAGTGACGTCACTGTTACAGCGAGTTCATATCCCAAAAATGCGCAGTGTGTTTTAGTGGCACAAGTAGTTAACTGTGAGTCCTTAAATTCACTAGCTATCCACTAGGTAATTAGCGTTATATTGCGTTACAGGTCTAATTCTACATACACCCTGAGGTAAATTACAAAATTATCGATTGGACATTGGTAGTTCTTGTTACTCAAAATTCAGACATCAATCCATTCAAGAACAATTAACTAAAAAAGTGTCTTGTCTTTTGTTAGTAGCCAGTAAACTTAAACCTAGAAAGCATATTTATATATGCAGATTAGAATAGCAATATTACTGTAACTACATCAAAAGTATTAGACAAATATTCAGCACTATGTGACAGTCATGAATGACTACAAAAGAACAACACGAAATTTATATGAAAATTTAGTTTCCTTTTTATATATAATATGTATACATACATATATAAGTTTTTTAAAGGTGTGACAGTTTCCCTTGCATTTTAAACATTTCAAATATGGAAACAAATCCTACATGTTTTCAACATTGTTGTTGAACTACAGATTTGATAGTGTATGTTAGAAAATAGATGCGAACTTACCT